TTCCCAGTGATGCTCTGCAGAGGGTCTGCTGGGGTCCTGGATTCTCCAAACAGTGAGAGATAAGCAGCTGCCTGGCTTATACATCAGGCTCTCATGAATCTGGCTACTGGGAGTTGCACCTGTAAGAGCTACCTATTCTGAGACCCTGACAGAACTGTGTTTCTGGGTGAGTAAAGCCAGCCCGCAACTATCCTAGCTGACATTGTCCTGGTGAACCAGGAGAATCTGCAGGTGAGCAGGGACCCCCATATGAGTGTCTCTGAGACTCCCACACCCCCTGCAGCAGGGGTGAATGGCTGGGCTCTGGACAGGCAGCTCCTTTGCACCCTAAGTCAGTGGGCTGATGAAGAGGTCGTGCTGGGGGACCAGAGAGGTGGGGGCCTGTCCAGGATGGCTGCGTTACGGCACTGGGTGTGGGGCACCCGCCAGCCCTGTCCAGGCCTGCTGGAACTCACGAAGACCAGACCCCGTGCCCTTCTTGAGAGTGTGGGGTACAGACCGCAGACAGAAAGGTTTTTGTGGAGATGTGGGGGGCATTTGTACAAACGACGGCAGATACAAGCTTCCGTGAAAACGGCGGTCAGGAACAGGGCAAGTCCGCCCACGTAGGACGGGGCTGTAAGAATGTAGCACAGGCCTGACGTGACCTGCGTCTCACTGTTCCTACAAGCTAAACTCCTGTAAACGCCACACTTGCCTTGAATGCCAGCTGGATGGTGTCCAGAGTCCGGGCAGGCCGGCAGACGACAGACAGGGCGACCACGTACTCCCGAGGGTCCATCCTGCCTTCTCCGCTCTGGGGACGAGACGTGCCCTCAGGAGAGAGCCGGGCCCCTCCCCCGGGTCGGGGAGCTGGGCTTGAACACTGACATCGGATCTTATCTGCCTCCACCGAACGAGTATTTTTGGAAGAACATTCATAACCCACTGGCTTTCGCGAGGGGCCACACCATACACCCTCTTTAGGCCACTGTGATCAAGTTCCAGAGCCTGTGAGTCTGGCATATGAAGCTCACGAAAGCTCAGGCCACACGATGGCCGTCATGTGCTAAGGTTTTCCTTCAAGGAAAACACCCGCACGCAGCAAGGGCACACTCGTGTTCTGAGGACCTAGTGGCCCGTGGCAGAGCAGCGAGCCTGCAGGACGGCGAGCCCCCAGCTGCGATGTGAGGAACACCCGGCGCCTGGCCCACTGGACACTCGCTGAGTGCCACGCAGCAGGTCCTCAGTGACCCTGGGGTCACCATGGGACAGGCTGCTGCTTCGAACAAGCGGGCCGCTGTAGGGAGCGGGAACGAGCCAGGGGCCGGCGCGGGGCGGAGGGAGGCTCCCAGCGCAGTCTCCCACACCCAGGCCCTGAAAGGCCACCCACGTCCAGGGCTGTACTGGCAAACACGGATCCCCGGTCCAGACACGACGGGTGACTGGGTGGAGTGCGGCATGGGGACAGTCCTCACGCGCCACGGGGAAGGCCGAGGGTCACCCTGTGTGCCGACTGTCGGGAGAGAGGCCCCCCATCCAGAAATCCTGGATTTCTGGAGGAGGGCACATGGTTTGATATTTTTAGGCTTTTTAGAGATCCCATTTAAAACCCCAAACTACAGGTTTATCAGCAAATGTTAACGTAAGTGACAAACTTCTACGTGCATTTCAAACCACAGGAGAAAACATCCAAGCAACAGGGTGGGCTGGTCAGGGCAAGGAGGGGCCGTTCCCCCTCTCCTTCCAAATCCCCAGGCAACGCTTCTAACTAAAACAATACATGTTGGAAAGCTGGAGGTTTTGCCAGGAGACCCTCCCAGGGCCACGGCCCCACCTCATCAAACAGGGAGAACATGTCCTCCAGCGTGTCCGAGACCGGGACGCCCAAGTACTCTGCGAACTCGGGGAGGCCCATCCGTCCTCCGCTCTGTGTCCTGGCGCTTTCAGAATATCTAGCCAGATCTTTCTCAAGCGTTTCTGGCTTTAACCTACACACAAAAAAAGGGAAAGATTTTTTTCATTAAAATTACAGAATGCTGCAAAACAGGACGTTTACTGTAACAAGACTCAACAAAACATTAAAATTACTTCTACAACGGGCAGCGGGGTCATTTTCAGTAGGTGTTCTAATAGTTTGAAGGCACAGCACGGATCCCGCCTCAGCGTCTCCGCGGGAGGGACGGACGCCTCTCGGGCAGGTGGGTGGGACCGTCCACGGGGAGCCCCGTGCTGAGCCCTGAGGGTTTTGAGACACCTCGAGGCGGACTGAAGCTGATACTGGGAAAGTGCCCGCAAACCCTGAGCACGAGCACTTCTATCTGCTTGGAGGCCCAGTTGGCCCTCAGCACCCACGGCGACCTCCAGCTTGGTCACCAACAACGGCAGGGGAGGGAGGGCCTGCTAGAAGTTTCCGGAAGCCTCCTGTCTTAGAAAAAGCATCTCAGCAGTGCTCCTAAGAACTCTCCCTGTTCCTGAGCGAGCCCCACTAGTGCTGCCAGAGAAGCCACCGCGAGCGAGGGAGGGGCTTGAGGAAGAAAAGGCGCCGCACTCACCCCAGGCGCCTCACCAGCCTGGCGAATTCGAGAAGGCAGGTGTCCGCGGGAAGCCGGAGCTGTCCTTCCGCCAGGGCGAGCTGGCAGTCCTCAAATGTGTAGTCGGTTACGGAGATGCCCAGGGCCCTGCGAAGAGGGGAGGGCACCGCGGTCAAGCAGCCCCAGGGCAGCAGAGTGAGAAGGACGGCCCAGGGTGACCACAGGACAGCGAGCGCATTGAAGGACCAGGGGCCCCCCTTCCCCGGCCCCACACCTCGGGGCTCCCAACCAGGTCCGTGCAGCAGTGGCGCCCGCCGCACGTCCCACCGAGACCCCTGTGCCCAAGGCGCACTGTGGCTGGTGCGTGAGGACGTGCAGCTGGGGTCCGCCACCCCTCCCTCTGGGGCCCACAAGGCTTTTCTGAAAGTCACGCTTTTGCGGAGGCGTCTGCGCACTGATTTGGTGTCTCTGCAAAACTTGTTTTAGTTAAACAAGAAAAAATTGCTAGGAACACAGGTGGTGTCCAGGGCGGACGTGCAGACCGTGGGAAGAGCAGGTTTCCCGAGAGCGCGCGAGGCCCGCGTGGGGCCACAGCCAGAGCGCGGCAGCTCTGCTCCAGAAAGCCCAGGTGAGTCTGCGGCACTCGGGGCGCGGAAGGCTCTGGGGAACGGGCGGAGCCATTCAGCATCAGAACGAAGCCGACATTTGCAACTTTGAAAAACCAGACTAAAACACATGAGTGTGAGGGTGTCTGCTGAGCCGGTGAACCATTCTCGAGCCTGGGCTGGGAGCTTGCCATGCAGCCGTGAGGAGCGCTCCGTCCCTTCGGATCCTGCGGACACAGCGAGGCTGTCTCCAGCCACTCGGGCAGAGCAAGCCCCAGGAGACGGCAGAAGCCCTTGCCACAGCCTGTGTCCCGTAAGGTAAAGCTGGGAAGGCCTTGTGGAGGGACACCCTGAAAACTTCCCCTGGGTCTGGGCGTGTGGAGGACAGACTTCATCTCCCCAAGCTGTCCACAGACAGGAAAAGCCATCTCCCCTGTCCACTCCCACGTGTCCCTCCCCAAGAGGGCACATCTGGGCGGGGCCTGTGCAGGACAGAAGGACGGCAAGGAACCTGGGGCCGGTGGTGGGGGGGAGGTGACAGGGGCCCAAGCAGGGGCTCCAGCCCAGGCACTTGCCCCAGAGCCCTGTGGGACCAGAGTTCTCACGCACGCCCACAAAAGCACCCCGCCCCCCGGACGCCTGTGATGGGAGCACTGAGCAGTGAGTACTCTGAATGCTGACACGTACAGAAAGACAGCGTTTCAAGTTCACATCTGGCACTAAACATGAGCGCTCATTAGTGGACCCCAAAGTCCACTTACGTAGAGCCTGGGGCGCCCCAAGAGGTTAGCCATCACTGCGGTTTCCACCCTGCTAGGAAGCAAGTGTGCAGCAGGTGCCTTCGAGGCCACCACGCCACCAGCTGTCTCATTCAGAAGCACAACTTGTCTTACAGGTGGCGGGGGTCACCTTCATAAGGGCTGGCTATGTCCCCAAGTCAGAGCTCAGCCCTTCTAAAGATCGGCATCAGATTTCAGGAAAAATGACCTGCTTCTATTACAGGAAACACAATGGTAGAACATTTGCCAAGTATTTAAAACTAAGCGCTGTCCCCCATAACTGAATGGGCTTTTAATCATCACCGTGCTACAACGACACTGTGCCATTGTGGCTGGCAGATGGGCTTTGAAGTCCTTCCACGGCCAGTCCAGTCCCACTCGGCAAACTGAGGTATCATCGTGTGGGGACAGAAGGCAGGATGACCAGGAGTGCCTCGGGTCATCCCGTGAGGAGGTGGGGGGAGGTGCGCGCGGGGGCTGCCGGTGACGCTCAGTGGGTCCCAGGCTGCTCTTGGTGGGTCTAAGGGCCAGGAAGGCGACAACCCACTTCCATGTTTCTGGGTTCTCCTGTGGCTGTGGGGGCAGGGGGCTGCCCTGTGGCCAATGTGCCCTTTTCCATTCGATGTGGGGTGCTTCCCCTCCACGAGCAGAGCGTCTGTGACATAATTACTGTTAAACGTTATTAGCTAATTTATCTGAAGAACTAAAGCAGTTTACCCCCAACCTGTCAAGCCTCTGACTCTGTGGAGACGATATCCTTGTCGAGAGGTTGAACAACCTGGCTTCCCCCGAACGGAGAGTTGAGGGCATCCTGATGGCCAACCGCCCCCCACGCATCCTGGTGTGGGGTTCTGAGAGCGAGCGGGCGGTGAAGTCCAGCGAGTGGGCACCCGAGGAGGCTGGGGGTGTCCCGCGGGCCTGTGTCCCCAGCGCCGGCCTTCCTGAGGGGCGTGTGGACCGCGTGTGCCTACCCCGCGGAGCTTTAACTCCCGCATGCTGAGCCTGTGACTTGGCCTGGTAGGGCCGCACAGAATGTGGGAACATGGGGGTTCTAATGCGCACACAGTGGGGCAGGGGGCTTACCTCCCGCCTCGGTCACAACTGCTCAGCCACGGCGCTGGGAAAACCCCTCCAGAGCCACACGAGCCTGCCATGGGGGACGCCTGCAGAGCCACCGAGACCCCCTCCCAGCACCACGGTGGCCCAACACAGAGGCGGCCCCTGCTGCCCGGGAGCAGGAGAGAGGGAGGCTGGGACACGGCGGGCGAGGCCGCGCGGGCCTTAGGCTGACATCCCCTCATCCAAGACAGCTGGGGACAGTGCAGACTTGGGAAGCGAGAGACTTGTGGAGCGAGCGCGCCTCACTTGGGAGATGCGGCATCTAGTTCCCATGCCGCACTCGGCGAGCCGGACGGAGGCCCCGCAGACACTGCCCGGGGACCGCCCGCCGTGGCCGCCTGCCTCCCCAGGGCGCGCACACCCAGCGCCGTGGCGGCTGGTTCCGACCCACGCAGGTGAAACTGAGCGAGTTTAGCCACGAAGACGCAGACCCGGTGCGCGATGCAGCAGGGACCGGGGAGCCCGGCGGCTGACACAGCCTCCAGCCTGCGCGCGGTAGGCACTTACTCGCTTCCGCCTCGACCCGCTCTCCGAGGGCTACTGAGCGCGTCTGGGCTGGGCTAAGGAGGAACGGGCCGGTGAAGGGCTCCCTAACACTCCGAGGGCTCCCAGGGGATGCCGCGGACACGGGCTCTGACCCGGCGGGAAGGGGCGCACTCACTCGGCCATGACGCGCCGCACGTTGCTGGCGTACAGCGCAGGGTCCTTCTTCTCCTCCTCCGACGGGCTGTACACAGGCAGGAACTGAGCACAGAGAATGCTGCGTTACTCCAGTGCGTGTCACACGCCCGCCCCGGCGCACTTACTGGTTGGACGCAAGGAAGGTCTGTCAAAACAGCTTCCGTAAGAACCACCCTCAAAGCGGTCACGGTGCACGGGCACACGCACCCAGACGCACGCGTCCACGTGTGCGAACACAACCACGATGCCTCCGGGACAGAAGCTCGTGTGCGCACTCGGTTCTAACGTCACATGGAAGCTCCCTTCGGATGCTAAAGAACTACGTAAAATTAGAACTTTTTCTCAAGTTCTAACTTTAGAGAGAACTACGTGTATGCTCCCCTTTCCAGAAGTTTCTGCTTGTGCTGGGGGATACCACAACACGCTGCGTCCACGTGGAAGAGAGACGAGGAGATCTGGTGTCCCCTGCCTTTTGAGAAGATCACACGCGCCCTGGGAACGGGCGTCTCGCACGAGCGACACTTACTCTGCACCGTCAGTAAGTCCCCCGCTCCGTGCCGACTCTGCTGGGCAGAGAGGAGACATCCCCGAGTGCTTCTTCCTTCCTGCAGACACTCAGCCCCTCCCCCAGCACACGCTCTACAGACCTCTAACCCCACGGGGGCGTCCTGAAGCCTCATCGGCTCTCGCCACATGGTTTCAGGCGTTCACCCCATTCACCCGCTCACAGGCCCCTGTGAGCACAGCACGAGGGGAGACACTTAGTGCAAGTTCAAAAATTCAGAGTTGCCTTTAAACTCTGAAAACTGTGGAGACGCCTGGGTGGCTCAGTCGTTAAGCGTCTGCCTTTGGCTCAGGTCATGGTCCCAGGATCCCGGGATCGAGCCTCGCATTGGGCTGTTCAACAGACAGCCTGTTTCTCCCTCTGCAGCTCACCCCGCTTGTGCTCTCTCTCTCACAAATAAGTACATAAAATCTTTAGGAAAAATAAAGAGCTCTGAGAACTGGAAACGAGGCCTGAAATAGAGAAGCACACACGGGAGGCCAGGAAGCAGCCACACATAATGTCCTGGCGGATGGCCAGCCCCCCTTGGACTCGGGCCAGGGACCTTTCTGCTCAGTGTGTTGTAATTAAGTAGCTTCTGCTATACTGAAAGAACCTGGAAGCTGGCTGAAATCCAGGTTCACTTGTAAACTCAGTGCAATTCTGCAACTTTTATCAGAAAGTAGCAAATTGCCTCATTAAACCCTTTCCGTTGCATTTGGACTCCCCTGTCGGGGGCAGGGTAGCCACTGATTCCCCTTTTAAGAAAAGAAACTCTACTCCTCACCCACTTGGATAAAACGTACAGGCTGCACGAATGTGGCTACGGAACGGAGCTGAGAGAAGGGGTGTCGTGACCTCGGGACCTCCTGGGCTGAAAGCCGCAGGCAGGCTGTGGGATCTGACCACGGATCAAACAGGACGACAGGATGACAGATCTGTGTGATCTCTGTGATCCAGCAGTAAGAGTAGCAAGTAAAAACGCCACAAACATAACCCATTGCACGTGTGCCAATGTTAAACACCATTAAGCTCTGTTAACCATGATAAAAGTAGGGTCTAACTTCCTTGTCGATGTTTAAGAACCTATCTGATTCGTGCAAAATCCTGCAGGAGACACTATGTGACCGGTGAAAAGGCCCAGGGAAGTATGTCTGAGGAGCAAAGAGAAGCAGGAAGACCTCGGAGCAGGCCAGATGACGTACAATACCGGACCTGTGCGGACGGCAACGTGACGCTGCCAAAGTCGTGTCTGTGCGGACACCGACACCCTTATCTCTAGAGATGCCAACACGACGCTGGATCTGCAGATGCTGGTCAAACCTCACGTCCGCACAGGAAACAAAGGTCACGTTGTCTTCATCCAACGCAACACTGTATCCACAGGGACAACGCAACTCTGTATCCGCAGGGACAAGACCATAGTATCCATAGTATCCGAACGGAGGAAGGGCTGAGTAACACCGTATCTGTTCTGACCACATGCCGTGTTCCCTGCAGACACCAGCTAACCCTGGATCCGCCAGAGCCCACGGTGGAACAGTGTATCACTCGGCTCGGTCTCCGACCCGCCCTGCACAGACCACACCAGAGGCCGCCTCGCGCTGGCTGTGCACAGACTGTGACCTCACACGACGTGACACTCCAGCCACAGACACCCCGACGCAACACCGCATCATGCCGCATCTGGACACTGATGCTGGACCTTCGCAAGCCCGAGAGTAAGGTTGTTGAACGCGCATCTGTACAAACCTCGATTTCCACACGATTGTGAAACTGACACAGTGTGAGCCACAGGGTCTCCAACCTTAAAAATGAACAAACAGATTTACAGCTTTGGTTAAAAGATTCTCAATCTCTTTTAATTAAATGACTTCAATTCTGGGAGCGTCTGGGCGGCTCAGTGGGTTAAAGCCTCTGCCTTCAGCTCAGGTCATGATCTCAGGGTCCTGGGATTGAGCCCCGCATCGGGCTCTCTGCTCTGCAGGGAGCCTGCTTCCCCCCCAACCCCCGCCCGCCTCTCTGCTTACTTGTGATCTCTGTCAAAAAAAAAAAAAAAAAAAAAAAAAAATCTTTAAAAAAAAAAACCGACTTCAATTCTGGGGCGAACTCTGCCAACGCCCGACCCTGCAGGGCAGCTGCCTTGTTCAAGGCACGCCGCGTCCCCCTCAGGCCAAGGCCAAGCCTCACAACACTGTGATGAGGACAGGGCTACCCTTCTCAAACGGGGTTCCTCACTGTCCCCGCCAGATGCACCCACTCCTGCAGCTGTCCTCTGCCCTGCAGGCGCCCATTCCCCACGTGTGTCCTCCGGCTCAGGAAACCTCGTCTATGTGACACTGTCCCGGACCTGGCTGTCCCCAGGCCACGCAGACTCAACAGGTCCTAAGTCGTGCCATCTGCAAGGTCAGCCCCTGAGCTCCGGACCGCAGAACAAGCATCACCACCCTTCTCTCTGTAGAAGTTGGAAACGGGAGCCGTCTGGAGCCTCTCGTCCTTGGGCATGGCTCCTCTCCCCAGCAGGCAACTGTGCTCCAAACTCTCTCTCTATAGCCCCGATCTCTGACTATCATCAGCCCCAAGCCTGGCCACCAGGGCCCGAAGGAGCCCCTTCACACCTTTCTCCCAGATGCCCCCTTGCTTCTCACCATCCACCCCACACTCTGGCCTCAGCAATGCTAACGCTACGGGCCACAAATGCGGCCTCTCAGGGCACCCCCCGCCCCCACCCCCAGCATCCGTTCCAGACGCCTCGCCGGGGGGCCTTGGGAGGGCTCTGCCTGGCCCCACCACTCACCCTTCTGCTGTGCCAGGTCAAACACTGGTACCACGGAGGCCTGCTGTCCTAGAACCCTGTGCCTCCCCTGCGCAGCCGTTCAAAAGAAGGGCCGTCCCTGCAGCTCCCCTTTTGTTTTTTCTAGGAGCTGCAGCACGTGGGAGGGATGGTGGCCGCTGAGCCAACAGGCACACGTGGGAAGGAAAGAACGCGCACAGTCACCTTCCCCTGGAGTGGGAGACCATTAACTTAGGTCCTGGAATCCAGGAGTGTGTGAACGGGCCAGGTCTGCACACTTAGTTTCGCAGCAGCAGACTCTAACTGCTACCATCGAGCACCAGCGGGTCCCATGTTCAGAGCTTCCACATTTGCAAAAGGAACCAGAACGCAAGGCAGTGACTTGCGTGGCCCCTGTGCTTTCCCGCAGGACAGGACACACAATGTGACGGCACAGGGTCTGACTTACGCGCCGGGTCCTTGCCACGTCCACGTGATGGTGTCCTGGGGGCAAGAAAGGAGCAAAACACATCACAGCTGGCAGTCAGGGACCTGGGAGGGAGCCCTTCCTTCCGTGGTGTGCCCACCGTCTGTCCTGGCCCTCGACCTGGCCCACCTCTGACCCCAGAGAATGCCGGTACCCTTCTTCTTCCCTAGTCCACTATGGAACAGGGGAGCAGGTAGGTGCCCATTACCTCCTGGCCACCCAGACACACTCCTCTCCTCCCACGGCTCCAAGGTCGGCAGCTCTGACGTCTGCCTGAGCTGCCGCCCCAGTTCTGCTTTCCAGCCTCCTCTGTGTTTAAGGAGTCCCTGCCAACATCAGTTCACAGCCCAGGAACCTGCTTTGGGTGAGCAGTCCCAGTGACCACTGTCCGCCATCACCATCACCCACCACGGGAGGCTCATTCCAACCCACACGCCCGTGGACCCCCAAGGCCCCGGCCTCCACTCGGGGCCGGAGACGCCCAGCAGATGAGCCCAGGCCTGCGGGGGAGCAGAAGAAACCACTGCGAGGCACTAAGCGCGCCCAAAGGCCCCCCCCCGCCACCTCGTCTCAGCTGCATCAGACACCGAGATGGGGACGCTAGAGAACACAGACCCTGTTTCTGCCCTGACTCTGGTCCCAAGTGAGCTTCTTTCTTCTGAAGTCCTGACACCCCCTGCCGGCTTCCCGTGGGCTCCGGAAAAGCCGCCAGCTGCAGGGGACACCCCGGCCACCACCCGGCCCGTGGCCGCTGCTCCTCCGCACGGGTCCGTGCGCCAAGCTGTGAGCGGAGGCCCTCCCTGAAACTGGGCAGCGGAGGTCCGCCACAGACCGGCGGGCTGAGGGCGCACCGTGGCAGTGCTGCCTCTCTGGCAACTAAGCTGAACACTTCCGGAAGAGCCCGGTAAGGCAACTTACTGAAAATAAGCCCATGGAACAGGCTTTAAAAAAAAAAAAGAAAATCTCGAATTCAACCCGCCGAGGATTCTCTTCTTGTCGGACGCTGGCGAACACGCACGGCTCTTCTGAGTTTCGGGGACGTAATGTCAGAAGCCTCGTATCTGTCAGTTCGCGCGGTGACGGGTTCTGACCGACACCCACTGACTGACCGCTCCCCTTGGAGAACCTCTTTGTGCTGTCAGCACCCGGAGGCATAGGGTCTGGTGTGCAAATCTGGGACCCTCCGGGTCTGGGCCAGAAGCAGGGGGCCAGCCCCTCACGCCCGCAGGCGTCACGCGTAAGCACGCTGCCGTCTAGACAAGCAACTCCAGGCCCCACGGTGCTGGGGCGGCTGAGTTTCCTTTTTGTCGTCATAAAGACACGCTGTGACAGGGAGAAAGCTCGGTGCACTGAGCAAACCCACCTCGGTGTCCTCCGTCAACAGTCCAGGGCAGCTGACACCCAGGCAGGGCCCAGGGACATGAGCCTTGGCTGGGAGAGCCCAATGCCTGTGCAGGTGCAAGACACACACCTGGAGGGGCCACGGCCGAGCGAGACGCACCGGGCACCGAGCAGCACCCGCAGAGGCTCGTGGCCTGCGCCGGGAATGCGGCCCACTGAGCTGGACACGTGTGGCAGGGCCACAGAGCCCCCAGGGGAGGGGACAGCTGCGGCTGCTTTGACAGATGTGGAAACGGATGCCACGGCAAGCCTCTGGCCACAACCCGTGGAGGCTTCATCCGGCCTTCCTGCCTCCCCCGAGCCGGGGCCCTGTCGAGATCACCAGGTGCTCTGGGGCCCAGACGCCCCCTCCTGCGCTTTGCTCGGACAGAACAGGTGACGCCTTCCCCACAGACTCAGATGCACCAGCAGAGGCTCATTTGGTACAGCTCATTTGGTACAGACTCACTTACTTCCCTTCCCTCCCGCCGTCTCCAGCCTTTCAGGGTGTAGACTCTCTTAATGTCACAGTTTCCCAGGTGACCAGGGAGCAAAGGCTGCAGAGGACGTGGGAGGACGGCTTACGTCAACGCAGCAGGACCCATCAGCAGGGAGGACGGGCCCCCGCTTCGTGACCCGTGACAATAGGCAACTCACCATAGTCCCAGGAAAACACACTCACCAGTTCGTTTGGGTACCGCAGAACCACGGGCTGCACGGGGACCCCCGGGATGAAGGCGCCTGCAGGGAAAAGGGGCGTCGTCTTACTTCGACCACTGGTTCCTCTCCCTGCACGTTTCATGCCGGGCCTGGAGAAATGAGCTTTTCTGCCACCCCTTCTTGGTGGATGGTCATCGGGTGCCCAGAAGGCTTCCTCGATGGGGGTGTGGACTGAGTCACGTCAGGGAAAACCACAGGCTCGCAGGGACCCAGGAGTGTCTCCCCGACTCGCTCAAGGAGGAAAAACAGAGAATTTAAGAAAATTACATACCGGGCTTGAAGGTAATGAGGCAGGTCCTGTTGGTACATGTTCCTTCTGGAAAAATCATTATCTTGGAACGAGAAGAGAAAAGGTCAGCTTTGAAGGAACGTAATCCAGAAACAGTCTGCTTTCTGTACTCCAGACACACTGAGATATTTTCATCGTTCTCAGTGTGGTTTAGGCACACGACGGAAGCACGCCTGGCTGTGCTCCCCGGGTAGGAGTTCTCTACAACGAACCTGGGGGCTGGCGCCCGCCTCCTAAGCGCGTGCTCGGGACTGATCGCGGCCGCCGTGGGGCCCGGCTGCCACCGCCTGATGCACCACCAGCGCGCAGCGGGGTCCCCCCAGGGGCAAAGCTGGACAAAGACACACAGAAGGGGAGCTCAGCGGACGGCCCTGGGCTGAAGGCATCGGGACCAGGGCCAGAGCCGAGGCACAGCTGGGCCAGCAACCAGAAACGCCGCAGAACCAGTGGTTAAACACGTCCCCGCTGGGACTCCTGAATCCTTCTGGTTCCTGCTGACCTCCAGCCACACGACAGAAACTCAACTCTCCCCTCAGCACAGGGACTACAGCCCACGCGGCTGCTTCCAGACCTGGGGCGCGGCCAAGCACCCCAGACGCCACGATCCCCGGGGGGCTGCTTGCGGGTGAGGGTGCCTGGCCGCCGGGCCTTCCATTCTCTGAGCACCCAGGACCCAGACAGCCCCAGGGCGCTCCAGCTTCCAAGGCTAGGCTCGAAGAAACACAGCCGCCATCAGCTGAGGCCGCGGCCCGGCCGCCCACAGAAGGTCTTCCTGATGCTCCCTCGGGAGCTGGGCTCACACGGACAAGCTCGGCCCGGGGTTCTCAGGGCCGAACAGCCACGCCTTACGGACTGGCGTACACCAGAGGCCGTGCCTGCTGCGGGTCCAGGGATCGCCAAGCAGTCATTTTAGGAAAGACGCTTCGGGCACGTGAGACACACGTGAGACCTGCCTCGTTTGTCCCAATTTTACAATTTCAGGACCAACAGTATCTGACACTCAGCACGACCCTGAACTCACGCACTCATCAAACGCAAATGAAATGAAATGAATCCGGGCCCCAGCTCGCGGTTCACTGCGTTACCTGTGGCCACTTTCCACTGGACTGTGCGCGCCTCCTGATCTCCTCCACGGTCTTCCTGCGGGAGTCCTGGTCGGACCGAGACACGAACACCGGCCGGATGTACTTTATCAGAGCTGCCAGGGGAGGAGAGGCACTGGTGTGGGAACGCACGGCTTCCGCCGTGTTCAGAGGGATACGGGGGGCTGCCCACGGCACAGGGCAGAGGCGAGCCCCCCGGGACACCCCAAGGGCAGCAGTATCCCTGAGGGTGGGCGGCAGGTCAGTGCCCGATCACAGGGGATCAGGGAAATCACCGCGGCTCCCTCACACGATGGTATGCCACCCCCAACCTGCCAGGTCGAAAGTAGCGCCACCAGTGTCTGGACTGGAAAGCAAGGGCAGTGAGGCTGATCGCAGACAGGGAGGGAGCTGCGGGGGGTCAACGGCTCCAGAGTCAGAAGGGCCCAAGGCGCATGGCTTAAACCCCACCAGCCCGTCATGGGCAGAGCCGTTTCCCTCGAAGACACGGGCTACTGCGCTGACCCTGGGCACTGAGGACTGTGACTTTCTTTGGAAATCAGGCACCTGCAGACGGAGTCACGTTAAGATGACATGGTATTAGAGCAGGGTGAGCCCGGACTCACGCCCAGTGTCCTCGCATGGAGGAGGAGACACGGACGTGGACGCAGAAGGCCATGGGGCGGCAGAGCCCAACACTGGAGTGACGTGACCACAGCCACGGGACACCGAGGACAATGGGGAGCCGCCAGTGGTGACGAAGGCCGGACAAGGCCTCCCACCAGAAGCCACCCTGCTCACAGCCTGACTCGCGACTTCCGGCCCCCAGGACAGCAAGAGAATCAGCACCTGCTGTCTCTGGGCGCCCAGTGTGCAGCCCTCTGTCGGGGGCGCCCCAGGACACTCACACGGTGGTGGTCCTGACCAACTTGGCACTGCTGCTGTGGCAGGTCACTGCTCCCGTGACCAGACCTGACAGCAGCAACCACCACACGGTTCTTGTGCCTGAGGCTCTGAAGGTGGGGAGACACTTCTTAGAAGAGAAACCCCAAACTGACATGACAGCTGTCCTTAGAGAGCGCGTCCTCTCCTGGGAAGGACAAGTGGGCAGCCGCAGTGGCCAGGCACCCCCGTGGCGGTGAGACACATCCCTGCTGGGCACAACATCAGCTTTGGACTTCTGAGCGTTCTAACTACTCATGAGGAATCGTGTGTTGTGACTCTTCTTCCTGGGAGGTCTTCCAAAAGGCAAACACCTTTTAAAATTCATTAAAAAGAAAAAAAGAGAAAAAAAAAGAAAAAAAAAAAAAAGAAAAAAAAAGAACATTCTATCTGGTCACGTCCACGGGACTCAAAATCCAGGCTGCAGGTGGGTCTCAGTGATGTTTTCTTCTGGCATCTGGAATCTTCTTTCCTGTTCTGTCATTCTCGCGGATTCCTGCGGACGGTGCTGGGAGCGGCACGCGGGGAAAGGGCCGGGGGGACCCCCACAGGACGGGACAATGGGGAAGCCGCCCAGCTTCCTCCCGTCCGCGCCGGCTCCACGCTATCTTCCAGGGAGGAGGAGGAGCGGGGCAGGCTGGTCTTACTGAAGAGGGTCGGGCGTCACAAGTGCCCCTTCCTGGTGACATGAAGAGGTTGTCTCTTCACGACGCGTGGACGCGTCAGAAGCTCTAGGCAGAGGTGGGGAGAGGCTCTCTGGGCTCCAAGGATGACGGGGTTTCATCCTCTGACTGGTATCTCAGACTCCCCTTCTTTTTGGGGACCCCCAGGTGAATCCCCACACTAGAGACCTTGTAATTGAACAGCTTGCTTCTGAGGACGGACGGGAAATATGGCCGCATGTCGGGTGAGCCCCACGCAGTGTTGGCAACAAGGGCCTGGGGCGCTGTCCTGCCCAAAGACCGTGAGACGCGGTCACCTCAGACACCGCCCCGCATCTGTGAACGCCCAGGGGCCCACAGAAAGGACACTGGAAGTAAACCGACGATGTAAAAATGAGAAAAACCCTTGGGCTGATCACTCTAACTGGTGGTCACAAATCTGAAGGGGACAATATTTTGAATATTTTTAACATTTATCACTTCACCAAAGTTGTGGGCTGTCAAAGGGTCCAGAAGCACCGAGCGTTAAACAACAAGGATGAGAAGAACCAGGAGGATGGGCCACTGGGAACGCCCCCGGGCCGCGTGCTGCATGGGGGTGGGAGGCTGGGGGGGTGGGGCGGGGGCTTGTTCCGGCCCCCACGGTGGGAGGAGCCTCAGCCGCAAGACCTGGAAACAGGGAATGCGACTTGGGATGTGCCGTGCGAGACTTCTAACCGAAACCCGTAACAAGTGGTCCGGCACTCCCGCACTCTTCTTTCTACGTCATCCCTGACACGACTGGGACGCACGGTGAGGGACGCCACACACGGAGGACAGGCTGGTGACCCTCCCGAGGTTCGGTCCATGGTGGGGGGCGTGGAGCTCAGCTCTGACCTCGCAGCCCCCAGCACATGCAGCCAGTGGAGTTGGCTTTCGAACGCTGACCTTGGGATGTGGAGGAGAAAGTGCAGCCGTGAGTCTCCATGACGCCAACTTGGGACTTGAGCCGTCACTGAAGGAAGGCGAGGCTTCGAGAAGGGTTTGTGTGATTTGTACGTGAAGGAGGGGGAGATGACATGCCCCCCCAATCCCAGAACTTCCCCCAGAATGCTGACATTCCTCAGCCTGAAGCTTAAAACCGAAAAGAGGGAATCGCAACACAATTACAGAACGGAAGTGGCTTCCCGCACCCTCGGTCGGGGCCCACACTGCCTCACACTCGGGAGCCTGTGACACCCTCTCAGCGCTTCCTATAAAGAACCTAAAACATGCACCATGTTCTCTCGCAACCAGCCCCGAACACCACCACGAGCGGGAACTCAGGAGAGTTCAGAGGAGACGGTCAGGGTGTGGACCCTTTGCCCCGGCGCTGCGGCACCCGCAGCACGTGCCTCCTGCTGGACCAGAATCCTTGGTGGACGCACCCGTGGTCTGAACGGTGAGAGGCAGGCAGAGGAGAGGGACAGTGGTGTGCCCTCCCCTCCCCCAGGAGCAGCCTAGAGGAACCAGGCTGGGTGGCAAGCCCAGGAACAGAAGCCAGGAGGACAGGAACCAGGAGTAGGTGGGCCGGCCCTGCGGGGCACCTGGACAGCTCTGGCGCGTGGGCCTGGCCAGGAGGAGGCAGGTGCTCTCACCTGTAAAGTGATTCCCCGCATTCCCTGGAGTTCCCAGTAATGGTGCAGCGCACCCCAAAATGATGTGCCCACATCCTAAGCCCTAGGACCCACGCGTGAAACCTTATTTGGGAAAGCAGCCTTTGCAGATGTAATTAGTTATGTACCTGGAGATGAGAGTACCCTAGGTTACCCAAAGACAAGTGTCCTTGTGAGAGACGCACAGAGACATGTGCAGGGGAGGCCTGGGAGGAGGGAGGCAGGGGCAGGGGGGACTCTGCCACTGCCCCGGGGCTACCTGGGGGCCAGGAGCTGGAAGAGGCAGGAAGGACCGTCCCTGAAAGCCTCTGGAGGAGCGAGGCTTTGGACACTTTGACCTTGACTTCCAGCTCCAGGACTGCAAGTGTAAGTTTCTCCTCTCATGCCAGGAGTGGGGTGATCTCTCACGTGGCCGAGGGACACCTGCACACCTGGGCTTTCGGTCCCTGTAACCGGTGCCTGGGGACGGACACTTCTAGGGCCGTGGGATACGGGCCCTGCACTTGCCACGGACCAAACCTGAGCAGCCACTTGGACACATGACTCTTGAGGACGTGTGTGCGTGTGTGTGCATGTGAACCTGCTGAAACCCACAAGAACTAACATTACAGAGAAGCCACAGTAGAGGGACAAGAAGAGACTCAAGGGCAACTGCCTATTTCATGTGGGTGCGACCTGCACGGACAGGCAGGGTGGGGGCTCGCCCACTCCCGGGGCGGTGGGGAGGATGGGGGAACACGGCACTCGCTCCCAGCAGGATGGGGGGGGTCTCAGTCACCCCCAGCAGGTTGTGGGGTCTCAATCACTCCCGGGGAGGGGGCCTCACTCACCCCCAGCAGGTTGGGGGGTCTCATTCACTCCCGGGGGGGGCTCACTCACTTCCCCATATTGGGATGTCTCTGCTCTCCGCCTTCATCACGATGGACGACATCGTCAGGGTGACGGCAATGGCATCGAAGTAGGAGGAGTGTGGAGCCAGCGTGAGGATGGCGGCCTCCGACGGAGAGGCCTGCTGACCCTTCATGACCACCCAGTGGAAGCCTCCGGAAAACCACATGGTGCGCATGATGGCCTTGAGCAGGAAGTCCACTACCCTGCAAGAGACAGTGCTGCGGTCACGCCAGGCCAGAGCTGGGGGTCAAGGGCGCCGCGCTCAGCTCACCAGTGCAAGGCTGACCGTGGGGCCACGGCCGCTGGGAGCTCAGTGCCAACCTCTGGTGGGTCAGCCAGGGCGCTCCAGGCCCCTCCAAACCCCCAACAGTGGCTACTGTGGTGTCCGAAGGAGAGAAGACAAGAGATGTTGGGCCTCCCTCCCCTCTACTAGATGGGCCTCCCTCCCCTCTTTATCAATTTGTCCAAGAAAACAGAAGTGCTGACTGCAGCATGACACAGCAGCACGAGGACGACGCTGAGTCCTGAACTGAGCAGCAGAGCAAGGACGCGGCACGTGGGAGCCACCGGGGCCGTAAGCGCTGGAAGGTGATTCATCATGAAACAAACCCACTAAAGTATCTAGAACGCAATTAAAATCGGGAGTGACGCTGGGGCTGAGAACGAGCCACTCCTGTCCCTGCCCTGGAGGGTCCTGAGGTCTGGGAATCGATGACCCAATGCCCCGTTGCTAAAGCAACCCTCTTCTGGATGAAACTCGATGGATGATAAATGTGGGAAATTAAATAACCACCAGCCCAGATTAACCGAGCAGCTTCCTACTTGTTTCTCACACATACGAGACTGCAGACCTGTAAATCCCACCACCTGTGCTCGCTGCAGAGGGACGAGGACCCACATCACTGGCAGTGCACAGAGGCGTCCGCGAGCGGCCCCGGGCTGCGAGCTCCGCAGTCCAGGGAGAATGGGGGCTGCTGTGTCACACAACGGGACTGCCTGACAGAAACACGAGCCCGAAACCTCACTGGATTGACCCCCAAGGGGCTCAAAACCGTCTCAAGAGAATTCTGGAAGAGGAGCCCAACGGTGATGAGCGGGGACCAAGCCCAGAGGAGCCCTGAGCCCCTCGTGGAGCCCCCGAGGAAGGCCCCCGCGTGCATGGCGAGCAGTCGCCGTGTGGCGCACGCCGAGATGCTGGGCTGGGCTCTGATGCCGTCTCCAGAACCGGGCGTGACCACAGCTACGCACTTCTCCCTACCTGTCCAGCTGCGTATGCTTAAACACGCTCCTCTCCACACAGGCTACCTTGCATAAGAACATGTTCCGATAAAAGCCAGAGACAGCCACCGGTTCGCAAGGAGAAACGAGGCCTGGGGGAGGCTGCCGTGGGACCGAGAGCTGCCCGGGGTAGTCAGAGTCAGGGGCACGCGGAAGGAGCCACTCGGAAGTGTGGACCAAATCCTGATATGCCTGTGAGAGGCACCCCCTCCCCCCAGGTCAAAGGCCAAACCGCGCGAAACAGAAATGGGAGCAGAGGGTGGGCACAGGACACCTAAGGACACTCTCGGGTTCTCGGAGGAGTCCCAGCCCCGGTGAGGCCGCGCAGCCTGCGGACGTGGACACAGGCCTCAGAGCCACGCCTGCGTGGATTGTAGCCCGCCTGACGCCTCCCATCCGCGGCCAAGGGGGCCAGTGACAAGCCCGAGGGGCTCACGGAGTGATTCCCAGGAGCGGTGACGTGGGAGACAATCCACACGCACCAGGCAGGGACTGCCAGCCCTTGCTGCCTCCCCTGCTCGTCACCCGGGGGGCACCCTGGAACCTGAGACGCCAGCATGATCAGCCACGCAGCAGAGAAGAGACTCTGGTGTGAGGACACGAGGTGGCAGGCACCAGAAGGGAGGCTGGGCGTCCACACTCTCCTCAGGCTGTTCTGGAACCCGGGCCCGGGCGCCATGAAAAGCAGCAGAGAACAAGAACGCACTCTGGGCAATCCAGTATCTCAGTGCCCCCAAGAGCCTGTTCTCTGGGAGGCTGGAAGTTTCCGGAACATGCCGGAGAAAAAGGACAGCAGTGCAGACAGGAAGAGAACAGTTTCTTACGGTTGAAGACAGACAGACCTTTAGCACCACGTCAGGAAGCAGAACGAACTCAAGGCAAGACAGACTCCTATGATTTCCTTTGAAAACTGTTCAAATTCCTGGGGGCAGAGAGAAGAGTTCCAAACTCAGCAAGTAACAGGCCATCTCCCTGAGCATCACAGCCGAAGCTGCCAGCAGCTTTGTGACTCTGGGGCTGTAAGATCCGGAATCCGTGGTTCTCTACCCGGACCAGCTCCCCATCAGCACTGAGGGGAGAAGGAAGACACATTCAGAAATGCACCTGAGTTTCTCCTGCTTGTCCTCTGAGACAAAACCTACACTCCAGGAAATCTTGGGAGGGAAAAACGAGAAAAAAAGAAAGAAAAACCCCAAACCAGGTCCAGGAGATAGATCATACCCAAAAGGCGTGCAGGAAAGCACTGCACCTGGCAGAAAAGGGACACGTGGGGAGCCGGGGGCTCCGGGACGCTCTGGGAGGGCAGTGTGACCTCGAGGGGGTCAGAGCTGGGAGGCTAGGCTCAGGGCTCACTATCCTGTACTAATACAGGCAAAGCAAGAGTCTGACTGTAGCTGGAAATAAGGTTAAATGAGGTCACGACGTGAGGGGACTGGTTTCCTGGCAGGAGGGAGACCAGAGCTCTCCTTGGGAGCCAGGGGAGGCCAGTGAGGGGGCACCATCTGCCGGCACGCGGATTCCCGATTGCCAGCCTCTGGAACCTTCTGTGGTTGAGGCCCCTAGCCTGTGGCACATGGTTCCAGTGGCTGGAGCTACGACACCCTCTAAGCACGTGAGCTGGCCAAGGGGCGGCACCCAGAGGACACTGCCGACCGCCGGTCAGGTCTGCAAGATGCTCTGGCGTTTACAGTCGCTTGTTGTTTGAAAGTAACTTCGAGTAAATGTCTCTGTGGAATTGTGTCATTCTTCCTTTCATTGAGAACCTGAGGCTTTTATTTTAAGACGTCTGAAGGACGCTAACGCCTCCAGCACAAATCCTCCCCGACGGGACATCACTGACTCCAGTCCGCCCGGCCCCGCCCAGCAAGGAACCCGCACCTCCCAGCCGACCCCACGAGGGCCCTTCCGTCCCAGCCTGCGGACGCCGAAACCTGTTGTTCTGAAGCCCCCGTCCTCCCACCTCGCCGGTCCCCAGATCAGGCACATGTCACCCTGCTCTCCTTGAAGGAGCTCTGTGCTGACTGTCCTTTGTTGACCCAGGGCAGGGCAGCGCGTGGAGTTCCTGAAAAACACTGCTGCACGGAGACCTCAAGGGTGTACGGCCCGCACCCCACGAGCAGCATGCATGTCTGTCCGTGTGCGCACACACGTGTCCCTTGCGGACACAGATGTGCACACACATAGTTGCACACACAATGCACTTCTGCATGCACACAACACTCACACACGCACACACACACCCACACTCGCCCATACGCACATACACACATGCTCACGGAAGGCCTTGCACACACGCACATGCTCGACACACGCACACACGTTCACGCACGCGCACATGCCCGCACGCCCGCAGAGGCATGTGCACACGCTTGCACAACATAAACACGTGAACACAGCGCTGTGCGGTCCCCTCACACGCAGACACCCAGAGCTCTCACGAACCCTCAGACGCGTCTATGTCTTGCCGTGAAGGCTGCCGCTCGGGCACGTGCTACAGGCACACGCGGCGCCTGGAGAGCCGGGCCGTGGACGCCAGTTGGCGGCCCCCGTATCATCCACCGAGCCCAGCAGAGCTGCATGGAGCCGGCCCGGGGTCAACGGAGTCCAGCCCGGAGTCCGCACTTGGGAAGGAGAATCCGCAGGGGGCGTGTGAACAGGTAGGAGGGAGCCCAGACCAGGGGGAGCAGAGGAGGGGAGAAGACAAGGTGCCGGGAGGGACGGCCGCCCTATTACCAACACCCCAAACTCTTAGATCCCCTGTCATCGGTCAAAAATTCTCCAGCTACAGATCCTCAACCTAGCAAGACCAAAATTCTGATTCCTGTCTGGTCCAGGTTTATTTTGCTGGATTATATATTTGATACTAAATTCATATTTTAGGATTAAAACATTTAAGAAAATCCTCAAGGTAAAGCATGTCCTTCACAGAGAATTAAGGAATCTGAACAAGTCAGAAGGAGCACTGGAAGCCAGTATGTCCCCAGCGCCGGGGGGGAGGGGCAGAGCTGACAGGACTTCCCACCCCCCTTCCCCTCCCACCCTCCCACCCTCCCACCCCCCACCCCCCCACCTCACTCTCTCCTCCCTTGACCCATACCCACTCTCTCCCCCCATACTCACTCCCTCCCTCTCCCCCATTCACTCCCTCCCCTTCTCCCCCCAATACTCACTCCCTCTCCCCCTCACCCCTACACTCACTCCCTCACTCCCTTCCCCCCTCACTCAGGACCCACGTCCTAGCACCCCTGGGCGAGGTGCCACACTGGAGCTGGCATGGGAACGGATCATGGCCCGCCTTCGGGTCTCCCAGGAGGAAGACCGTGGTGCACTTGACTCTGACAATGGTCTAAGCACGCGAACACAGTGAGGGGTGCACATGAAGACCCCACATGCGGGCTCCCCCGTCACGGCCACGCACACTCCTCACGGGCTCATGCTCATGGGCATACCCATGACTTGAAACTCCATCTTTGCTGCATGTGTGACGGTCACGTGTGCCCACGGCAGGTGCACGTCCGCAGAACCAACCTCAAGGGCAAGTGCCAGGTCCCACCTGCCTCTGTGGGGCACCGTGTTCCTGCCGGCCAGAAGCTTCCTAGGGCGAGAAGGACTGAGCCCGTCTGCTAAGCCCGTGAAGGGCCAGGAGCAAACGCTTTGGGCTCTGTGGGCCACACAGCCTCTGCGTCTGTGAGGGGCTCAGCGCAAGTGAAACTGTGTGTAAATTGGGCAGCGGCCGGGGGTGGCCTGGGAGAGGGGACCCCTGCGCGAGGCTGCCGTTTCTGCTTCTGCGTCAACTGTTCCAGGACCCCAAGGGGGTGACGAGAGGTGCGGACAGCGGGCGGCTTTCAACAGGAACGACAGCTTCTGAGACGCTGGAGATCTTTCTCAGGGTCCGTGCCTCCTGGCGCTTTCTTCACCAGCAGCGGACGCTCTGGTTTACGTACAGCTTCACGGAGGAGCGAGGGGACTGAGAGAAGCTTCTGAGGTCTGTGCCGCATCCCCAGCTACGGTGTGCTCAGAACGGGGGCACCCGGTGACCTGGCCAGCTGAGCGTTGGACGCAGGGTTCTGGCTTAGGTCATGGTCTCAGGGTCCTGAGAAGGAGCCCCGCACCCAGCTCTGCGCTCAGCGGGGAGCCTGCTTGGGGTTCTTCCTCCTCCTCTGCCCCTCCCTGTTTGTGCGCACGCATACGTGCACACGCTCTCTCTCTCGAATAAGCCGTAAGAAAAGATGCATTCAGAACATGGCCTTCCTGCTACTCAACACGTAGCCACAAGGGAACTTCTAGGTCTACGGGGGGATAAGGGGGACACTTGATCCTGCAGAGACCAGACCGGCACACGGGACCCATGTCAGCTGATGTGCAGCCTTTGGGAGCTGGGGACGTGGGAACACGGTGGGGAGCTTCGGTGCCGAGGGTATGGCAGCAGCGGCCACGTAGCCCGCGGGACCCCGGAGGACCCCTCAGAGCGGGACGGGGCAGCGGGTGCCAGCGAAGGGGACCGGCCACCCTGACCCGCCACAGCGCCCCGGACGGAGAAGCTGCGGGAGGAGGGAGGGGCGCGTCCAAGCGCCTGCGCACGAGGGACTCACCTGCGCCAGGCGGCTGGGGGCTGCTCGGGGTCCCCGTCTGCGGAGCGCAGCGACGCGAAGAACGTGAAGGGCCACGCGAGCAGCATCAGGGCCACGACGAGCAGCAGCCGCACCGGGAAGAGCGTCAACGTCATGAGCACGACCTGCAAAGACAGAGGCGAGGCCGCTCCAGAGTGTCGCCGCGGAGCCGGTCCTCTGCGCTCCGCGTTGGAAGCCAGGCCCAGACCCACGCGGAAACGCTGCGCCTGCCCCAGCCCAGGGCACTGCCCTTGCTCGGTGGTGGGGCGCGTGGGCCGGGCGTCCTGCCGAGGGTCTCCGGCCATGGTGCCGTGCCCCTTCCCACTCCAGCCTCAAGGCCCTAGGCTGGGAGCGGCTCCCCGGATCCTGGCACCCACAGCCCCACCCCCAAGCCCCTCTCTGGCCCAGCCCAGCACACGTGCCCTGCTCTGCTGAGCCTTCCCGAGTCCCTCCCAGCGTGGGGCTGCCCCGCAGGGACCAGCAGGTACGGAGCTGGCCGGACAGACTGTGGACCACAAGGAAGATCAGGGGCCCCGCGTGACTCTCCAGCCCCAGGACGTCGCGGGCAGGAGCCCGGCAGAGCACAGGACGCAGCCAGCCCGCCTCAAACAAGCAGCACTGGGCGGCACCGCACACCCCCTCGGTCTGCTTGGGCAGAAGCCATGGGAGAGGCTCCATGGGCCCGGGCAGGCCCTACAGTGACGGGGACAGCTGCCAACACGGGGTGGGGGCTAGGATGGACATGGGGGCTCACCAGAGGGGCCTAGTCAGGGAGAGTCATGGTGGAGGGACACTCCCACGCACAAAGCCACGGTCTGGTCTCCCCAGGGGCCATGTGCTCGGGAATGCTGCGTTCTGGGATGAACGACTCTCAGGCAGTCGGTCAGAAAACAGTGCTGGGGCGGGGACGACGAGACTTAAAACTTGGAAGGGATTTACGATCAACAGACACAATTTATAATTATTTGCAACAATACACACTTCAGACATGTGGGTTTTGGTGCAGGGAGGACAGAAAAGGCCAAGAGAAGGTGCACGGTGAGGTCTCCCGGCCGCCTGGCTGACCCAGGCCCAGGAGCCCCACGGCCGCTCGCCGGCCGGGCTGCTGTCACCTGCTCCAAGTCGCCGGCTGGCCCCACGGACCCTCCGCGGACTCTGCTGGGTCCTGTGTCGAGACCGGCCCGCTAGTGCCGCGCGTGGGAAGGAGAAGAAACTAATGTAGTGCCCCGAGGTACTGGAAGTACCGTCGTCTCGGCACAGACTCAGCACAAGAATTACAAATGAGGTACTTCGCACTTTTTCATACCGTCTTGAAAACCCAGCGTTCACCTGACACTCCAGGTCATCTGGGGTCCCAGCCGCCCCATGTGGCACTGCGTGGACCGGCACTTCCCCGTGATCGGCAGGGGACGGCAAGCTGGGTGGCCACCCCTCCCCTCCTCGTCCAATCCCGGTCACCACCCGGGGCCACAGCCTCCGGGCCGGGCAGCAGCAGCGACAGCAGATCCATCTCGTGGGTGACATTGGGGACGTTTCCTGTAAAGGGAGTGCTTCCTCTGGGCTGTAGCACACGTTCTTGGCGGACGAGAACACCTTTCCAACCCCGGGCTTCGGGAGCGGCGTCTGCTGTGGCCATGAGCAAGCGGAGTTTCAGCCGCCATCCCTCCTGCGTCGAGCGGGGGACGACGCTGCTTCCGCTCACTCAGCACACGCACGTGCCGCGCCGCACCCACAGGGCTCCTCCGTGAGGCCTCGGTCACAGGGCCGGCAGGCCACCCTGGGGCGTCTTTTCTCTCCGGAGCTGCGGAGCTCGCCTGTGAGCGCGCGTCCGGAGGCAAGTCAGGGGCAGGCCTGGCCACGGCTTCCCTCTAGGCGGACCCAGCGGGGACGTCTGTGCACCGGGGAGCCAGCTTCTCCAGGCAATTTCTCCCAAGATACACATATCTAAGGGCTGGTTTTTTCTTTTTCTTTTTTTTTTTACTGTTTATCTAGATTTTCTACTTCTGCTTGAATTCACTTCAGGGGTTTTGCCCGAGAAAATCCTCCTTAAAAGTCCCCAAATCTTTTTCTGCCCGTTACTTCCCCGCTGTGTGTTTTCAAGGTAATGGAACGAAACCGCCCGCTGCCTTCTCCCGGCGTTTAGCACAATGCGGCCCCGGCACGCCGCGCACTTGCTGTCATCTGTGTCTCAGCGACTCTCCAGTTTGTTAACCCGTCTACTGAGCCGCTGGGGACGGACTCGTGTCTCTACTGTGGGATGTCTCTCTCTCCGAGTCGACTCTAACGTCCCTTTTAACTTCTTGCGGTAAAGGCCCTCGCGTTATCCTCTGACGTGTGCTTCTCTGCACAGGCGTGCTGAGAACACACACCTTCTCAGAGCACCACTCTAGCCACACAGTCACGTCACCGGCTAGATGACTGGTGGCTGCCGCTGTCCGGGTCCTTGTGCCGGCGAAGAAAGCACACGGATGGAAGGTCTCAGAAGGTCCGTCCCACGCGGCAGGTGCAGCGGGAAGCCTGGCTCGCCGATGTGCTCTTCTACCAACCGCACACCAGCCACCTCCCTTTCCCGGACGGTGTGTGCCACAGAATGGCACCGCACCGGGCACTAGGAGAGCTCACGACCGCCGTCCCACCCCATGCATCTCTGAACCACGGACCGGGTCAGGGCTCCGAGGGGCCCCAGGAAGGCAGTGCCAGGGAAGCGCGACCTGGACCCGCCCAGTGCTCTTCACGTGGCTTAGTTAACGACATACGTCCCCGTAGGCAGGCCGGCAGCCACAGGGCTCACTCAGCCATTCCCCATGGGACATAGAACGTGGCCGCCTCTAGCCCTCGATGAAACATTCACGCGCCTGCTCTTACGCGCACTGTGAGGAGAACACAGTTGAGTTTCCAAGCTTCGCAGCCAGCAGGGAAAGGACACGTGAGCGACCATCGCAGGCCACAACCCTCCGCAGACACGCCCCCTGCGAGGGCAGGTGGACACGCAACGTGGTCTGAGAGTCATATACTCGCCAAGTGCCGGGTGAACTGCCCAGGGCAGGGAGCGCACTCGGGAGCACATGGGGTGCAGGGGGACCTGCCCGGGCTGCTCCCCGGGACCCCAGGGCTCTGCCTTCACCTCTGGGCAAAGAGAGGGCCTGCACGTTTACGCCGGGCTCAGCCCGGCCCTGGAGGAGGGGAAACTGTCGCCAGGAGGGGTAGGACACGGAAGGCTTCATGCAGCCCCTTCTAGAATCTTCTGTGGGCTCTGACCACTTGTCTTGAGCGCTAGGCTGCCCCTGGGGTGGACCTTCCCGTTCTCCTGCCTACACTGCCTGGTCCGCTTGTCTTCACAGGCTCTGTGGCCTGGCCCCTGGCCTCCTGGCACGCTCGCCGTCCAGCACACCTGCACACACTGGCCCCGCGCCTCAGCCTGTCCGAGCAGACTCAGCGCTTCCAGCCGCGGGACAACAGCCAGGGATGCTGTGTCGGCCACGTGGACATTCCCAAGTGTGCTGAGGCTGCAGAAAGACCAGAGTCACCGCAAAGACGTTGGGAGAAAGTCTTGCTGGGCTGGAAACAGAGGGCATGGAGCAGAGCACGGGGGCGGCCCGGCTGCCTCTAGGCAGTCCTGCTGAGCGCTCACGGGCACCATGATTAGCAGCCCGGGGGACACGGCGCCTCCATCCCCGAGGCAGCCACAGGCACCTTTGCTTCTCAGCCAGCCTGGAGGGCAAGCCCGCGGAATCACAGAGCCCCGTATCACGGTCCCTGGGAGAGAACCTGTAGGGAGGCAGGGGATCCCCTCGGGAGAGGGCAGGGCTCCGTTTCCCACAACCCAAACACCCAGCTCTTCTGGGTCTGGGGGTTGACTCAGACAACCCCCCGGCCTGGGAGGGGACCAGGGACAGACCCCAACATCCACTCCCACAGAAGCCCCTCGCGGAACTGGGAGGCGGTCAGCAGCCACAGGTGATCTGTATTGGGCAGGGATGGATGGACGGCAGCCCCCGGAGGTGCAGGCACGGGTGGGAGAGCAGGGGCCTGGGGGAGGGAGAATGCGAGCCTCGCTCCCGGGTGATGGCACTGGGCGGAGCTGGAGGAGACACGGCCGCAGCATGGGGGAGGGGGCACGTCGCAGACCAAGCAGGAGCGGCTGGGGGCGTGGGACCCGCACCCTCCACGGAGCTCCAAAGGCTGTGGCCTCACTCCCCTCAGCAGCCCGGCCACCTCAAGGGCGCCAGGTCAAATAAACCCGGGGTCGCCCCTCCCGCGAGCTAAGGGTTTACAAGCCCCTTCTAGGAGGACCTCCATTCAGGCTCCCCGACTGAGTGAGGTCCCACTCCGTGGAAGTTGGCTGCGACATGTGGTCCGTCAGGAACGGGTTTACCCAGACTCGGACACGCAAGCTGACGGTTCCTGTGTCCCGGAGCAGCATTCTCCCGTGGCACGCTCCACCTCGAGGCCCTGTTGGGGGCCCAGCTGCAGGGCGGATGTCATGGCAGCCTGCGGGCTCCCAACACCATTTCCTGCCCAAAGGTGCCAGGACTCCTGGGAGAAGCCAATTCTGGGCTGAGGCAGAAAACGTGGAGGGTGACCGGGGACAGCAGGGAAGGAGGCAAAGGCCCCCAGACTCTGGAGCCCCCATGGCAGACAACAGTCTGAGCACCGGTAAGATCGTCACGCTGATGAGAACCTCACGTGTGCTCACACCCTGCGTCCAATGCCCCGGGTGCGCACGCACGCCTGCATACACACCTCACTGGTCCTCCAGAGCCCCTCACCTCTGGAGGGACGTGGGCTCCTGAGTGTGACACCAGCCCATGTGGTCATGAGACCACCCCTCAGGGCAGCCAAGGGGGGGGGTCCAGGAGTGTCCCGCACACCCCCCCACCCCATGTGGAGGAGACACAGCACACGCCAACAGAAACGGGTGCATCCGCAAGACAGGGCCTTTAAAAGGGGATTAAGGTAAAGTGAGGTCACTAGAGTGGACCCTAATTCCACACGGCAAGTGTCCTCCTGAGAAGACATTAGGTCACAGCAGACGGCTCCTAGAAGAGACGGCGTCTATACGCCCAGGAGCGAGGCCTCAGGAGGAGGCTGGAGATGGGGCTTCCAGTCTCTAGGACCGGGGGAC